CCTATATGAAGTATATGAAATAGACAAATTCATGTATATATATGTGTGTGTATGCATATATATACGTGTTTTTTGCATGTAATGGAACTAGAGATAGTACTGCTAATTCTTGGCTGTAAGCAAAGAATACCAGAAAGATGTTTACTTGTGTTTCATTGACTATGCAAAGGAAACAAATTATGGATAACATTGGGAAGAATGGTAATTGTAGAACACTAACTACACTGTGCTCACTACAACCTGTACATAGCCCAAGAGGCCGTTGTCCAAGCAGTACAAAGGGATACTGCCTGATTTAAAGTGTGTCGGGGGTGTATCCTTTCACCATACTTATCCACTCTTCTATAAGTTAAGCAAATAACTCAAGAAACTGGACTAGATGGAGAGGGATCCAGCATCAGGATTGGAGGAAGGCTCGTGAACGACCTTCCACATGCAGATGGCACCGCCTTGCCTGCTTAAAGAAAAGGCCGAGCAGGTAGTGAAGAAGATCAAAGACTGCAGCCTTCAATGCGATTACACACCAACCTCAAGATTAAATCCTCACAACTGGGCCAGTAACGGACCTCATGGTCAACAGAAAAGGTCCGGGTTGTCAAGGATTTCCTTTTCCCTGGACCCACAGTCAGCTGCAATGGAAGCAGCAATCAGAAATCAAATGCCCCACTGCCTTGGGCACTTTGCTGCAACATACCTTTCCCAAGTGCTAAGCAGCAAAGATGTCACTTTGAAGACTTAGGTGCGCGTGGCTCCCACCGTCTTCTCAATCACGTGCTGCGTACATGACAGCTGGACAATGACTCCGGGAGACTGGACAGGAAGGCGTGGATTTGAATTCTGGTGCTGGAGAAGCATACCGACTACAGCCAGGACTGCCAGAGGAGTGGCTGAGGCTGTGGTAGAAGAGGTACAGCCAGAACGCTCCTTAGAAGTGAGGGTGGCAAAACTGTTCCGTGCATTTTGGACATGTTATCAGGAGGGGCCAGTCCCTGAAAAGGACATCTGTGTTTGGTACAGCAGAGGGTCAGAAAAAAAGGGGAGGACCAACCAGGGGCTCGAGCACCGGAAAGACGGCGAGGACAGACGGTGGTCCATCCTGTAATGCACAGGGTTGTTCTGAACGGGCTCCACTTGACGGCACCCAACAACTGCCAGAAAGTAACTGCCAGAAAGTAACTGCCGGAAAGTAAAGCCACAATGCACTGCCGTCCCGTCAGTTCCAGCCCCCAGACCTAGACCCGACAGGGCGGGGCGCAAGTGGCCGTGGGTTTCTGAGGCTGCCCATCTTGTGGGAGAAGAAAGACGCATCTTTCTCCCTCAGAGCAGCAAGTGGTTTCAAACTGCTAGGGTTGGCAGCCCAATTTGTAGCCCACTATGCCACCAGCCTCCTTCCTGACGACAACAGTACATATATGAATGCTGTGCGTATACCCATATAACATATATACCTAAATGTATTATATACATACAACACAGAGACATCTAACAACTCATCTATCCATTCATCTGTTGGTGGACACTTGGGCTTTGTTGTACCATTTGGTAGTGTGAATAATACTGCTATGATCATCAGTGGACATGTGTCTGTTTGAAGCCTACTTTCAGCTCTTTGGGATATATACTCAGAATGACTAGATCTGAAGAACCACCAAAGCGTTTTCCACAGTGACAGTAGTACTTTATATTCTCATCAGCAATGTAGAAGGGTTCTAATTTCCTTCATTCTCGCCAAACAATTGTGTTTTTATTTTCTTTTTGTAATAGCCATCCTGGTGGAGGTGAAATGGTATCCAATAATGGTTACAATTTGCATTTCCCTACTGACTCATGTTATTGAGCATCTTTTTAAAAAAATCATTTTATTGGGAGCTCATACAACTCATCATAATACATACATACATACATTGTGTCAAGCACATTTGTACATTTGTTGCCATCATCATTCTCAAAACATTTGCTTTCTGCTTGAGTCCTTGGTATCAGCTCATTTTTCCCCCTCCCTCCCCGCTCCCCCCTCCCTCATGGACCCTTGATAATTTATAAATTATTTTGTCATATCTTACCCACTCACTTCACCCACTTTTTTGTTGTCCATCCCCCAGGGAGGAGGTTATATGTAGATCCTTGTGATTGGTTCCCCCTTTCCACCCAACCCTCCCTCCACCCTCCCGGTATCGCCACTCTCACCACTGGTCCTGAAGGGATCATCTGTCCTGGATTCCCTGTGTTTCCAGTTCCTATCTGTACCAGAGTACATCCTCTGGTCTAGCCAGATTTGTAAGGTAAAATTGGGATCATGATATTGGGGGGGGGCATTTAGGAACTAGAGGAAAGGTTGTATGTTCATCGTTGCTACACTGCACCCTGACTGGCTCGTCTCCTCCTCAAGACCATTCTGTAAGGGGAGGTCCAGTTGCCTAACGATGGGTCTTGGGTCCCCAGTCTGCACTCCCTTCATTCACAATGATTTGATTTTTATTGTTCTTTGGTGCTTGATACCTGATCCTTTCGACACCTCATGTTCACAGGCTGGTGTGCTTCTTCCATATGGGCTTTGTTGCTTCTGAGCTAGATGGACGCTTGTTTATCTTCAAGCCTTTAAGACCCCAGACGCTATATCTTTTGATAGCTGGAACCCATCAGTTTTCTTCGCCACATTTGCTTATGCACCCATTTGTCTTCAGCGATCTTATCAGGAAGGTGAGCACACAATGAAATGATTTTTTGTTCTCTGATACCTGATAACCGATCCCTCGGCACCTCATGATCACACAGGCTGGTGTGCTTCTTCCATTAAGCATCTTTTTGATGTGCTTATCAGCCATTTGTTTATGGTCTTCGGAGCAATACCCAAGTGCTTTGCCATTTTAAAAGCTGGGTTATTTGCTTTTCTGTGGTTAAGCTGTCAGAGTTCTTTATACATTTAGGGTACTAATCTCTTATCAAATACATGATGTGAAACTATTTTCTTCCATTCTGAGGGTTATCTCTCTTGACTGTTTTTTTTGATGTATAAAAGTTTCTCATCTTGATGAAGACCAATGTATCCATTTTTCCTTTATTACCTGTGCTTTCTGTATCATACTTCAGAAACCAATGCCTAATCCTGGGCCATAAAGATTTTCATCTAGATTTCTTCTAAGAGTTCTATGTTTTGGCTTTTAATGTCTTTGATCCATTTTGAGTTCATTTTTGGATGCGATGAAAGTTAAGGATACAACTTCATTCTTTTGCAGGTGGAGGCCTAGTTTTGGTGACACCATTTGTTGGAATACTGACTTTCCCCATTGAATGACGTTGGCATTCTTGTCATAAATCAGTTGACCTATGTTTATACAAACTAATTAACACTCATAAAAACCCCATGAGGTTAGGCACTTCTATTATCCCCACCTGACAGGTAAGCAAATTAAGGCAAAAGAAGATTAACTAACTTATTCCAAGTTATGGAACTAGTAATGGTAGTCCCGATATGAATGCTGGCAGTGGGGTGTCAGAGCTTGTATGCCTCTCAGTAATCGTTCTCTAAATGAACGAAAGATGAAAATATCTGCTTCACAACTCTCGAGAGCAGATAAGAAGCACGTGGAAACTTGATGTGATGAATGTACCTCCACCAGCCAATCCCAGTGCCACTGCGTTGGATGCAGCTCATAGCCAAACCCTATGTAGGGTTTCCATGGCTGCAAACTGTTACAGGAGCGGATCATTTTGTCTTTCTCCTGAGGAGCAGCTGGTGGATTTGAACTGGCAACTTCAAGGTTAACAGTCCAACCCAATAGCTACCCAATAATGGCACCAGGGCCCCTTAACTAGCATTTATTTACCATTTATTATAGGGCCGGCACTGTACACATTGATTTTTGAACCACCATCTTTACAACAGGCATGACTTATTAGCCTTATTATTGACAGGTAAGCTAGCAAACTCAGAGGGGGTAAGCACCATGCCCAGTCACACCATGAAAGGCAGAGGTAGAATTTAAACCCAGGTTTGAATCGTTCTAAAGTCGACACCCCTCTCTGCTCTACGATGCTTTTCTCTGCTCAAATTAACTGGCATAAAGTAAAAAGAATATCTATATCCCCTCACAAAATAAGAAGAGTTCCATGGTCCTATATTAAGAGAATTGATATTTAAATGATTCCCCTGAAGTCTTGCAAGAGTCTAATGTATCTCACATTGCTTAGCCAGAGCATCAGAGGTGCCTGCTCTCAAGCCAGGACGGAAATTTTTGGCTTAGCACTTTTGTGTTTTGGTGAATTTCATTGTATTCTGAGTCTTGAAAGTGCGGTAGTACACGTCTTTGTAAATTGCAATGACCCTAAATCCCAGTTGTAGTTTGATGAAGAGCAACTAGTTCAGCACCTCATTGTTCAGACGAGGACATTGAGACTCAAACTGAGAAATGACTTGCCAAAGGTCCCACCCCTAATTAGTGGCTGAGTTCGGAATGGGATCCAGGCCCCTCTCAGGCCTCTAACTCCTGGACCGGTGCTTTTGCCAACTTACCAAGCTGTCCAACCGCCCTGTCTTTTTTTCCATATGAGAATGGAAAATCAGAGGAGATGATTCGAAAAGGAATGAAAATGAGGTAGGAATCGAATAACGGCAACTGTTTCCAATTAAAATACAGAGCCAGCAGCCTGGTCTGTGTGTTTACAGTGAAGTTTCCTGGACATCAAGTACCAGGCGGTGGTGGGGACGGTAAGGTTTCCCAGAGCCGAGCAAGGCCCAGCCCTCCGGACGCAATCTCTCTGCCAGTGGCCACAAAACAGAGCTGCCGATGGCTGAGAACTCTGGCGGAGCCCAAAGGTGCTGACAAGTCAACTCAGAGGACAGAGGAAGGTTACTGGCTTTCCAGGTCCCCGGGAAAAAAGTAGTTGCTTTGCAGAGAAAACAGGGTAGGGAAAACCCAAGTTGTAACTCAGTTAGCAGGAAAGCATTAAAACCCAGACCAGGAAACATCCTCCCAGCAAGTGTCTGCTTCTTTCCCTACCTCCAGCTGCCGGATGACAACTTCCTTATTTTCGATCTCTTCTCGCCTAGAAGGGAAAAAGGCAAAAGTGAAGTAAGCCAAGACGGGGAAACTCTAAAGATAGGGGAAACTCTAAAGATAGTAGAATCAGGGAAACTCTAAAGATAGTAGATTCTCGCAGAGCAGGACTGAGCCAAGGCAAGATGACATAAACAATGAGGGCTGTGTGCTAACCAAGTGCTCCCAGGGAAGGAGTCGCACCTTTGCGATGTGGTCTAAGCCTGAATACAAGGACCTATCAAATATTTTCTCCATTAATCTGTCAAGAACTGAAATTCCCAATCTGAAAGCTAATACCTTGTTAGGCCAGTTGTACACTCTTGACTCACAACAAATTGGGTGCAGAAACGAATGATTAATAAGAATTGCAAAAGGGGAAAATGATGCCAATCTTCTCTTTTTTTGGGAAACATATTTATTGTATACAAAAAAAGGCGTTTGTTATAATTCAGTGCATTTTAAAATGAATGTATTTTCACCTTTTAATTTTTTTATGCTCCATAACGATGGCGAAAACCCCCATAACCAATGACTTTCAAAGTTCAAAGGGGTCCCCAAGACCAGGAAAAACTGAGAAGTACTCTCTACTGATGTGCTGTCCCTAGTTTAGAAACTTCTGTGGCTAATAAATATACTAAACCCAAGATACCTGGGGCAATGCGCCCTGCAATGAGCAATGGCCTACAGCAGTGCACTAACCTCTGCTTGCAGGGCTACGCCCCCAACTTCAAAATTACCTTATGCTGTTGCCATATCTGATTTTGAATTTGTACACATTGAGTCCTGTATGAAGAAACCTCGTCTCTGGGAACGGGTAGGTGAAGGGTTTTAAACTCATTGCTTCTCAACGATAGCCTGGATAAAGTAGATAGAGAAGAGAATTACTGAGAAGGTCAAGGACAGCGGGCCTGTTCTATCTGTAGAGCTCTTCACCAGAGGAACAGCCAACACTCAGCACCACTCTCTGTCCCAGGCTCAGTCTGCTATCAATTACCTGGACCATACGTCTACCTGCACAGGGAGGGTGCAGGGTGTGTGCAGAAGACCCCGAGCTTGAAGTGATGGATTCAAATTCTGTTGTTTACCTTATGACCTTGGGCATATCACTTCTCTGAGCATCTCACTGCCCTGATGACTTACAGGATCCTTGTTGTTAGTTCGGACTCACAGCAGCCCTGTGCACAACAGAACAAAACACTGGCCGGTCCTGCACCGTCCTCACAACTCGTCCTACGCTTGAACTCATTGTTGCAGTCCTTGTGCCAATCAATCTTGGTAAGGGCCTTCCTTTCGCTGTCCATCTACTTTACCAAAAATGATGTCCTCCAGGGACTGGTCCCTCCTGACATGTCCAAAGTATGTGAGGCAAAGCCTCACCATTCTTGTCTTTAAGGTGCACTCTGGCCATCCTTCTTCCAAGACGGCTTAGTTTCGGTCCTTGGGAAGATTAACTAGATCTTCCAGATCTCTCTTGACCCATGTTCCTCCCTACCTCTATTTTCCCTAGATCCTCCTGGGCGGGGGTGGTGGTGGGGGGTTTCAAGACAAATCAAGAGGCAATCCAAAAGATGCACCAGTGAAGAGCACAATCAGAATGGCTTCTGCTGCTGATTCTCGATGAAGCGACGAGACTTGCCAAACCTCATCCCCAGCCAAGGCGGCCGATGCTTTCCAGTGGTGCCTCAGCCTTCCAACCTCTCAACTTCTTCCCCTCCACCACTTGTGAGGCTACCTGTGCCCCAGAGGTGACTACGGCCCTTAGCACTTACTAATTTTACCTGTCCTAATTCAGAATCTCTGCCCACTTACCTTCCAGGGGACTCGGGTGACAGATGTTTTATCCAAGAGTAAGTAAAAATGTATTGCACCTACAGCTCCAGCTCATCCATGCACGGTTTTTTCCCCAGAGTATGCTTAAACATGTCTGTCTCTGGGATCATGGACGCCCAGTACCTCACTTGTCTTAGTTGCACTAGGGTTCCTATTTAAAACAGTGGCTTCCAAGGGGATCTGCAGGGCCAGTTAAATTCATGGCAGAGAGGTCAGTTCAAGTTGTAACAACTGATTTGGGGGATTCCAATGGGGTGGTCGCTACAGGATGGACACAGAACAATTGTGAGGATGATACAGGACCGGGCAGGGTTTCGTTCTGTTGTGCACACGGTCACCACAGGCTGGAGCCAACCCAATGGCCCCTAACAACAATAGTCTTTGTAGATTTTATCAAGGTCACAGGAAGATCATGGAGGCCTGTTATGAAGAAGTTGTAAGAAAATCGAAAACTGCAGTGGCGAGGAAAAGGCCATGGAAGTTGTGCCCGGGGATCTTTTCCCATCATGGCAACCCACCTGCTCCTTCTGTAAGGGGGGTAAGGAGACTCTGGCTCAGAAACCTTATCTCACCCACCCCGCAGCCCTCAGCAGACTTCTTCTGGTTCCTCAAAATTAAAAAAGACATTTAAAAGCATACCACTTGAATCCCTAGAAGATGCTGTAACTGTCACTTTGACATTGTGTAAATGGAAGCACGTGGAATTCTTTTTCTTAAAGTTTTATTGGCATATAATTCATGTATCATACAATTCAATATTTAAATATATTGGAGAGTTGTACATTAATCACCCCCAACAAATTTTGGAACATCTTCATTCTTGTATCCATTATTATGCGCTCCCCATATCCTTTCAACCTCCCCTTTCATAACCCTAAGAAACTATTAATCTACTTAAGGTCTATATAGATTTACCTATCCTGAGTTCCAGTCAAGTGAAAAAAACACAAAACAACTTCAACAGAATAAAACACAGAACTTCTATCCAACATGGTAAAGTGTAATAAAAACTAGAACAAGTTGAAAATGAATTAAAAAGGAAAAAACCCTAAGACATGAAGTTTTACCTTAATTCTATCTGCAGTGACCCACATTCTGATGCACTCTCTCTAGGGAAAAGACTACTCATATCTTTGATCAATGGCCCTAGGGCAGCCGTTCTCAACATGTGGGGAGTGACCCCTTTAGGGGGCTTGAACGTGTCACCCGATTCATAACAGTAGCAAAATTACAGTTATGAAGTAGCAATGAAAACAGTTTT